GTACAGACATGTGATCAGAAGCGAGCAGGTATAAGAGAAGTCTGTACTTAGTTATCTTCTCTTTTCCTCATCTTTTAGCTTCTGTACGATAGGTAGAAGCATACTCGTTCGCTAGGCCTCTCCGCCCATAACAGGTAGAAGCATACTCGTTCGCCAGGCCTCTCCGCCCATAACAATCTCTAAGAAATCTAGGTATTTTGCTTTATATTAAAATAATATTAAGTTTACTTAGGATAAAAATAGTAGTAGCATATAAGATATTCTATATGTTGCGGAGGCGGAGCATCTGCTTTACTAACTAGTTTTAATAAAATTCAGAATCTTGTTTCTCAAACTAATACATGTTAGAAGACCAAATCAATGTCTCTAATGTTTATTATTATTTTCTTCTACCATTCTAAACGACCCCCATCCTTGTAATTTCCTAACACAATTCTAGACCCCCACCACCCTTGCGAACCTAGTTAAACTTGACCTTGAAACCCTGGAACGTAAAGATAGGCAGAGGCACAACCATGTTTTAGGTAGGCTTGAGATCCAACTCAGTAGTCTCAAAGATCTCGAAGTCAACAGCACCAGGACAGACCATAGTAGCGATAATGTAGTTCTTCTTCATAGCGGGAGCAACGTTGCTGAGCCACCTGTCAGGGTTGAACTCGTGGGGGTTGGGAAAGATCTTATGGTCAGTGTGCTGAAAGTAGGCGGACATGCCGACGGGGATGCTCTTGTGTGGATGGTTTCACAAATTCTGTTAGCTGAGGGCTTGGTAACCTATAAGTGAGTCGCAGCGATGTAGTATACGAGGCAGAAAAAATGCCATTAATGCTAATAGCCCTAGTCTGATTGACACTTCACCGTCTCAATGGTGAGCTACTGTTCTGGGATACAGTAGTTAAGTACCCAAAGCTGACCAAAATCGGGATTTTCGCCCAATTAGGCCACTTCCCATTCAGGACCGCCTCAGTCTAGGCCCACACAACGCGAAGCGGAATTTCACCGGCTTCCAATTTCGATTCTCTCCTGCTGTCTGGCGTGGATCTCTGTGCGACGGCTTGTTGGGGCTATCGCTGGTCGGAATTTACGCTTTCGGTAGCTGATCGCTGTGAAACACACTCCCACGCCACCAAGTACCTGCCTATGCTTGCACACTAAGCGCTGTATAACTATGTGTAGCATTTACAAGGATATCTATTTAATAGAACTAGTTGGCATCCAAATTTTATATCGCATTACCATCGAACCATCATTCATGAGCCATCATCGTGGCTCATCAATAACAATGCCTATGTTCACTAACATTCTTCAAGCGGAATCAAAGTTTACAAGCGATCTCACGTTCATTATTGTCGTGAACCTTATCTTGTTGAGCGTGTATCCTTTGGTCTACTACAGCCTCTCCTCCACCTCTCCCATCTCCACCTACAGGCCTCAACTGTTAGCTGGTAACACAACAGTCGTTCGAATTTAAAAGACAAAATGGCCCCTTCATACGACCAAACCTACTCCGTCCTCCTCGACAGAAACATCTACGACCCGGAAAACCTCTGCGAAGGAATCGATCTCAGGCGCCATCATGCTGCCGACCTTGAGGATGTTGGTGCATTCAGGTGTCAAGAAGACTGGCGCCGCTTAGTTGGACCTCTCGAGAGGCCATTCAGAGGTGGCCTTGGCCCGCAGTTCAGCTTCATCACTGTTGCTATGCCCAACTGCATTCCCGAGCGAATGGAGATTACCAGTTATGCTCTCGAGTTTGGCTTCATCCACAACGATGTCATAGACGAGGAGATCGAGGATGCCAACTTGAGCGACATGGAGGAGAGCTTGGAGCAGGGAGCCAAGATTGTCGGCATCGACGAGCGAGTTGCCTCTGGCAAGCGTATCATCGCTGCTCAGATCGTGCGCGAGATGATGGCAATTGACCCTGAGAGGGCTGTGGTCGTCGCCAAGAGCTGGTCTGCTGGAATTAAACACTCTGCCAGGCGAGAGGAATTGACCAACTTCCAGACTGTTGATGAGTACATCTCCTACAGAAGTCACGATGCCAGATACATGCTCTGGTATGGCCTGGTCACCTTCGGATGCGCCATCACCATCCCCCCTGAGGAGCAGGCACTGTGCACCGAGTTTCTCGTCCCGGCCCTGTCTGCTGCTTCGCTCGTCAACGATCTGTTCTCCTTCGAGAAGAAGAATAATGATACCAACATCCAAAATGCAGTCTACATTATCATGAAGGAGCATGGATGTGACGAAGCAGAAGGCAGAGAGCTTCTCAAGGCGCGTATCCGACAAGAGATGGCCAAATTTGCCCAAATCGTCAAGGACACCAAGACGCGATCTGACCTCTCGGACGATACCAAGCGATACATCGACGCCATGCAGTACATCCTTTCCGGTGATGTTGTTTGGAGTGCTCAGTGCCCACGATACAACCTGAAGGCTAGGTGGAATGAGCTCCAGATGCTGCGAGCGAAGTATGGTGTAGCCAAGTACCCAACAACTTTCCCACCAGCCGATGGCTCCATGGACCACCTCTGGAAGAAGGGTTCAACACAGGGCGAGAAAAGGGGCGAAAAGAGGAAAAGGCATAGCTTGAATGGAACTAACGGAATGAACGGCACCAATTGTGTCAAGAAGCCCACTATCTCGAGAGTTGGCGTGGATTCACTCCAACTGAACGAGTTAGTGTCGCTAGCTCTTAGCACCGACCTCCCTAACTTGACCGCTGATGTAAGTTTTCTATAACATCTTATCAGAAAATTGAAGCCTCCACAAAGACTGTAGCTAATAATGCATCTCAGGTCATTCTTCAACCCTATGCCTATATCACCTCCATGCCCTCAAATGGATTCCGTGACCGAACCATTGACTCCATCAACAAATGGCTCAAAACCCCTGCCAAAGCCACTCAAAAGATTAAGGAGATCATCAACATGCTTCACACTGCATCCCTCATGTTAGTTCCCTTATTCTAACATCCTAAAATGAACTCTCTTCTAACCCCGCCCTAGGCTTGACGATCTCGAGGACAACTCCCCCTTCCGCCGCGGCAAGCCCTCAACTCACAACGTCTATGGCGCCTCGCAAACCATCAACAGCACAACCTACCAAATCACACATGCCATCGCTCTCGCCGGCGGCCTCAGCAACCCAGAGTGCCTCCGCATCTTCAATGAGGAAATCAACGAGCTCTACATCGGCCAGAGCTACGAACTCTACTGGACCCACAACATCATCTGCCCAACCTTCGGCGAGTACCTCAGGATGGTCGACATGAAGACCGGCGGCCTCTTCCGCATGCTAAACCGCCTCATGACTGCCGAGTCACCGCTCAACGGCCAAATATCCGACTCTGAGCTCAACCCCCTCGGCTGCCTCATCGGCAGCTTCTTCCAGATCCGCAACGACTACCAGAACCTCATGTCTGCGGAGTACGCGCAGCAAAAGGGCTTCGCCGAGGACCTTGACGAGGGTAAGTACTCCTTCACACTTGTTCACTGCATCCGCGCCCTTGAGGCCGATCCCTCGCTCGCCGGTGAGCAGATGCAGCTCCAGTCGCTGCTGATGAAGAGGCGCATCGAGGGTAAGCTTACGAAGGAGGCTAAGCGTGAGATCCTCGATACCATGAAGAAGACACAGAGTCTGGAGTACACCCTTGAGGTGCTCCGTGAGCTTCACACTAAGCTTGACAATGAGGTTGGTCGTTTGGAGAAGAAGTTTGGCGACGATAACTTTGCGTTGAGACTTATGATGGAGATGCTCAGAGTGTAAGATGTTGGACAATACATTGAAGTGATTGGGCGGGATGGCAAATTGGCAACATTTTTCTTGTCTTTTGTTGTGTTGATTTTTTTTGGCTTCGCTGTTCAGAACGTTGCGCCTGCTGCCCCATATTAGACAGATCAAGTGTGAAAAGCCGGTTGGCGTTTGGAGCTATGTTTGTCGATTTTAGGAGTGAGTTTAAAATGCATCGCTATTTAAAGAACCTTATTTTTATACATATGAACTTGAACTTGATCGAAGTTTCTGGCTTCTTACTGAAGCACCTACCTATCACAATACTCTAAATTGGTGCCTAGGAAGGTCAACCCTTAGGTAGCTCCTTAGAGGTTTGTCTCGACTCACACTAATATCTTATGTAACTATCTTTTTTGCATGTACGTGAGTTATGGCCAGTCTTTCTACACCTACTACAGCGCGCNAGAGCCTGGCGGCTGACACCTGATCGCTCTCCTCCCTAACGCTCTTCATAAGCAATTTGCTCATCAGCCTCGCGTTGAGCAGTTATATCCTCGCCAGCTCCCTTTGTAAGCACTCCTTGCTTCTGTATCCGCTTTCTTTTACGCTCTCTACGCTTTGACGCTGCCTTATTAGCTCTCTTAAGGCTGGCGATCCGCTCGCGCATTAGCTTAGCTGAGAGCATTATTATCTCTACCCCCTTCTTAAGCTGACCAATCGCCGCAATAATTGACGCTAGTAATAAGCTTTTATGCTATCGAACGCGATTGCTTATTAGCGTTGATTGAGCTTCAAGCTCGCGTACGTTGCCCGGCGTACAGGCCTGCCAGAGAGCTTCTATAAGAGCAGCTGGAGGACTAGGCGTACGCAGCTGTACGTCAAGCTTTAAAAGAACAACATCTAGCTAGAGAGGAACAAGGCCTGCGCCTCGGAAAGCTGAGTAGATATTGGCTGGTGTGAAGGATCGATTAAACGCTACCTTAAACGCTGGCAGAAACTTAAGCTTAGTGATATAGTTAATTTAATGGCGTATCAGGTTCTCCACCTTACGGCTGTACGCGCGCTTTAATGGCGAGAAGCAGCCAACGTCGAGAGGCTGGAGTAGGTGAGACGAGTGAGGCGGCATACAAAGCGTGTAGATATTGTTCTCCTTACAGAGCTCTTAGAACTCAAGTAACTGGTGGCTCTTATAGCCGTTAAGAATAAGTAGCCGGCGTGCCCTAACAACCTTGCTATCTGTATGCTTGATAAAGTGCTTTAGCCACTCAACTCCTAGCTTGTTGGTCGTCCAGCCGTTATCGCTGACCGCGATCGCCCAGTCGCGTGGGATCTCTGCCTCCTCGTACTAGGCAGATAGGTGATACTTGCTAGTAAAGATCAGAAACGGTGGGATAGACCAGCCAGCTGCGTTGATCGCAGCGATAAACGTTACCCACTCGCGACCACCTAGCTGGATAGCCTTTGGCCGGCTTCTTCTCTCTGACGCTGTAACGACAAGCTAAGTAGTGATCTTGCCTATTATAAAGCTAGCTTCGTCGAAGTTGTAGACGTCCTCGTCATAGATGCTATACTTGGCCTTCGTCTGCTCTATAAGCTTAAACCAGCTCTTGATTAAGACTAGATCTTTATATAGGGCTCTCTGCCTATTATACGCTCGATTGAAACGTGTTGTAAGACTGTCTGTACGTTTGACAAAGGTAGACGGCTAGTTGACTCCGACGCGTTCTCTACCGCGCGCAGCTAACAGCCTATTAGCTATAACACGCACGGCTGCGTACGTAGGCGCGAATCTACGCTGATCTAGATCAAGTATGTATCTAACAATCACCTCCTCTTCTAGCTTAGTGAGCTTCTTTGAGTTGGGTTGGCAATCGCGTCGCGCAGGGACACCAGCGCGTCGGCGGCGGATTGTTCGTTCAGACACGCTGTAGATAGTAGCAGCACTCCGATTACTTTAGATCTGGTTAGAATTGATTGAGGAGATAGCAAGCTGAACATCTGATTCATTTAAAGCTAATACAGTAGCGCTGCGTTGAGCCATTGTATGATAAGATGGGAGAGGTGTGCAAGTTTGGTGGGGTGCGGCGCTCGCCCGTGTGCGGCGCTCGCCCGTGGAACACGTTATATTAGGATTGAAAATCATTACTTAGGGTCGGTTAGAGCCGTGTTAGCGGACTGTGAAAATAGAATTGTGATGATTGAGAAAGTAAGTAAATATATCAGTTGCGAGTGCAACACATGATTTTGACATCCAACTGATCGCAAGCTTGTATTATCTTACTATTTCATTATAAAAGTGTGGACTTATAACTGCTATTTTCTAGAACATGTCTTCATCCTCTAAAACAAAAGACAGGTTCTTCACCCACCGCCACGTAGCCAAATAATACATGAGATGGCGCACTTCTATCCTTAAGGGAAACCTACTTGCGCATAGAGCGAGTCTGAGGAGCTAATTTCTCTTTTTATCTACCATCGAGGTTCCGGTAAAAAATCAAGAGTAAAAAGTGTTCAAGCTTCACGAAAGATCAATTTGGGGCACCGTCTCGGGATGATGAAGTGCTAAGCATGACGATCTCCCCGGAAATAAAAGCTTAGATGCAAAACACTTTACGTACTAGTATACACGACTAGGCTGCGTAAAAGTTGCAAGAACAAAGAACAACATGAAGAAGAAATTGGAGCAAAAAAGCAGAATGCTCATAGCTAATCGCTCTTGTGACCCTATCGTCATTTTCGAAGGCCACAAAATCTAGTCTTACTATCTATAGTACGGATCGTTCCAAGATGCAGCGATGTTAGCTTCAGGGACCTGATCGATCGTAGTGTGGATGCCTAACAAACCCTTGACCTATGGTAGTACACAGCTGACTTTTGGCCCCCATCGCATTCGCACTTACACACGGGGCTATGTTGCGTATAATATCGCTCTCAGCCCCCTACAAGTCGTTGAATCATTCAGGAGCAGCAGGCTGTTGTTGTTCTTCACAACCATCTTTGCCAAAATGACATCTTCAAACGGCTATGATAGGCCTCCATACCACGACGAGTCCCTCCAACCAAGTGCATCACCAAGAACGATCTCGCCACTTCAAAGTACTTCCGGGCAGGAAAAGACACACGATGCCTCAAAATACGATGCGAGCGCAGAGGCGTTGCTAAACCCCGCGCCTGCAAAAGAGCAGACTACTGAAAAATATAGCGAACACAACTGAGCTATTTCAGAAAGCTAAACCTAAGAGACTGGTGTTGGGATTTTATTGCTGCAATTTTCAGTATCGCATGTGTTATTGCAGTCATCGTTATTCTAAGGAAGTATCAAGGAAAATCACTATCCAGTTGGCACTTCTATCACAACATCACGCTCAACACACTGGTTGCCCTGCTCTCGACCCTTTCCAGGACTGCACTCATAGTCCCAGTTGCATCATGCATCAGCCAGCTCAAATGGATACATCTAGTAAGCTCACTGCGGCCTTTACATGAGTATCAGATCCTCGATGAAGCCAGTCGTGGGCCATGGGGCTCGCTGACACTTACTTTCACCCTTCATTTCAAAACCAAACTGGCTACGTGGGGTGCCCTCATCACCATTGTATCTCTTACCATGGGTCCACCGTCTTAACAGCTACTTTCGTATCCTTCAAGAGAGTACCCCTAGAGATCCAGAGCTACCTTTTACAGAAATTAAATTTATGACACTGGCGCAGGCTATGGTTTGACACAGGCATCTCGTAAGATACCGGCAGTAGACCATCAAACCCAAGACTATTTGTTAATTTCAAATTTAGAAAGAACAATGGATCCTAAAATGCAAGGCGCCATTCTCAATGGTCTATACAATCTCAGCGCACCTATCCCAGTCCAATGCCAGACTGGTAACTGTCAGTGGGAGGATTTCACAACTGTGGCTGTGACGAGCGAGTGCAGAAACGTTACATCAAGCAACAGAATCAATTGTGAATTCTCGCGAGGCTCTAAAAGCTGCAACTATACAACGCCGTCTGACTTCTTCATTTCATCTTATTCATCCACCTCATCCGGCGATACCCGTTCGACTGAATTCAACAGCACCACAAATCCACCACAAACGACCAGCCACCTTGGCGAACTACTCAATAGCACCTTATCGGAATTCGCCGCCGCAAAAATGTCGGCGCTATTTAGCGAAGAAAGGCCGGACATTACCGAGTGTAGCATGCGCTGGGTTGCTCGCCTTGTTCAAAACACTACCTTTTCAAATGGTACCTTTCATCCTGGCATCGCCACAGACTACGAGCTCATCGGTGTTGTCAACCCTTTCGATTCAAATCACTGGGTTACCTTTAACGTTTCCAACGAAAGCGAAACGTTTCCCGGGAACAAAAGCTTCAGCGTTCTTCCAACCGACAACACTAAACTTATGGAATTCCTCAACATGGTGTTTTCCTCTTCAAAGGCCGACCTTTTCGGCCTAGTGCTGAACAACGTTACAGACTTCACGCAGATTATGGAAAGCATGAGTGATAGCATTACGTATGCTCTTGGTCAGAGTTCAACCGGTATGGAATTAGCAGGCGAGGCAATCACATTCGAACAGTATGTGTATGTCAATTGGGGGTGGATCATCTTGCCCATTGTTTAGGTGGCGATGGGAATTGCCTTTCTTGTTGCTACTTTGCTGCAGAGCTGGAGGAAAGGGGTAGTGGCATGGAAAGGCTCGGCTATCATACCTCTTGTCACGGAGATGGAGGGTTGGCATAGTGGGGAGTGGAGAGCAGGGTCTGCTCGGGAAGCCAACAAGATGGCGAGAGGAATGACGGTTGTGTTGGAGAACGAGGAGGATGTTGGTCAGATATCTAAACGCGTATAGTAGTATCAGGAGAGGGTTTGCTAGAAACAAATACAGCAAGACAATGACGAGCAACACATCACACATACGTGTTGAATGACAAGTGTGAAATCAGTCGTTTCCCACATAGCCCATCCCTTTCCTCCACCATTCCCATATACCTAAACTCTCCATCTTTGCTCCAAAATCCTTTACACTGTCCACCTCCTCTAGCTTCCCGTACATGATGCCACTCTCTGTATCCTTTCCGCCAGTTTCTTTTTCAGCAGGCTTCTTGACTAGTTGAAAATCTTTGTAGCGCAATCTCTGGACATTCGCAACCCAGTCTCTCACGCCAGTCTCTGCGCCTTGGCAATACATGATGCCAGGGCATCTGCCACTCCTCAGTAAAGCGTACACATTGCAATTCGACGCTGCCGCTTTGAGTTTGGCAACTTTCTTGCGTGAAGTGATGTGGTGCGTTCGAATTAGCGCGTTGTACAGCTGACAAGGCATTCTATTATTTAAGTCATCCAAAAGTCAAGAACGGCATGTATGAGTTTGGGTTCCCACGACCCGGGATACACACATGTGCAGATACGATTGTGCACGTGACGTCACTAGCGCCAAATGATTTTCCAGGAGCGCGGAAACGCTATGACGTGCAGGCAAGGCTCAAGCAAAAGATTTGATCAACGACCGTATGGATCGATTCCGCATACATATTGACTCCACCGGAAAGTTATGAAGACAACTCTGATACAGAGAGTTGCCGCCCCATCGCCGTCGGTTTTGAGCTTCCTGCGAGCTCAGGTCAATAATGTCTTCGCATCACCTATTGCGCAATGCGCCCACACCACTCGGCAATGTTGCGGTTATGCTATCGGCAGTCAGATAGGCAGGAGCCCGGGGAAATGTTCGTTTGGAAGAGTTACAAGTCACTTGCAGAAGGAAGACTTTTCTAGCGAAAAAAGATTTGTTTCCTCTAGGTGCCTGATCGAACACAAAGCATCCTCTCCACCTCAAGACCGTTTGCTTGTTCTCCGACACACCCCGCCCACCTCGTTGCAGCATGTCGATTGCTTTACCTACCGGTCTTTTTCCACAACTCGTGCCAACAATGGATGGAACATTTTTAATAGTGCAAAAATGCGAAAGCTGGCGCAGTTGCAACCGCCGCCCCCACCACCAGACGACTCGTCCTCTAGTTCTTCAGGATTCGGAAGTAGTCTGGGACGTATAATGCGGCCGACCAACGAGCTAAAGATGCGCTGTACGGAATTGGACGAGCACGGCAACGTCACGCTGGTCAGCGGAGAATTTAAGAAGAGCGAACTGATCGCAAAGGTACATATGGCGTATGACACATCGACACACCATAGCTGACAGCCCGTAATAGTATGGTCTTCTCCCGCGCGACCTTCGCAAAATCGACTCCTCGCTCCTCCCACATATTCTAGTCCGACCATCTGCGATTCTCATAAACCTCCTCAATCTCCGCGTATTACTGAAGCACAATCGAGTCCTCGTATTTGACGCATACGGCACTACAGATTCGAAATCGCAGTCAGTCTTCATGTACGATCTCGACCTACGGCTCCGTCAAAAAGAATCGACCCTCAACGGCACCCTTCCATATGAGTTTCGCGCACTAGAAGCCGTCCTGATCAGCGTAACCTTAAGCTTGGAAAAGGAGTTCGAAGGGGTCAGCGAACCAGTTGTGAGAGTCCTCCGAGAACTTGAGGAAGACATTGACCGAGACAAGCTCAGATATCTGCTGATTTACAGCAAGAAGCTGGGCAGTTTTGAGCAAAAAGCACGATTGGTTAGGAACGCACTGGAAGAATTACTCGAAGCAGACGATGATCTCAGCGCCATGTACTTGACTGAAAAGGCAGAGGGCAAGGTACGACAAGACGACGATCACACCGAAGTCGAGATGCTCCTGGAATCGTACCATAAGGTCGCCGATGAAATTGTACAGGCAGCCGAGAACTTGGTATCGAGCATCAGGAACACAGAGGAAATGTATGCAACCTTCCCCTCTTCACCCAATTTCTTCATAGCGTTACTGACAGTATTATACAGTGTCAAAGCCATTCTAGACGCCAACCGCAACTCGCTTATGCTTCTCGACCTCAAATTCTCCATTCTCACCCTCGCAATCACAGCTGGTACCTTTGTCGCAGCCCTCTACGGCATGAATCTCAAGAACTTTATTGAAGAATCGGACTACGGTTTCTATGGCATCAGTGCTTGGTGCTCCGTGTTCGGCGCTCTCGTCGCAGTTTACGGCTTGCTTCGCCTGCGCAAAGTCCAGAGAGTGAGCATGTACGGACATGGCCCTGGTGCGCTCGTTACTCGGGAGCCGACGAGACCAGTAGTAGCTGCAGGAGGAGGATGGGGTCTGGGGGCTTGGGGTAGAGGCAGCAGGAATGGTGTCAGTAGGGGAGACAGTATTATGCCTACAGGAGCGGATCTAACTGGTATGCCAAAGCGAATGGACACGTTTACCAGTGTCCTAGAAAGAGAGAGGGCAATGGCACGGAAGATGGCAAAGGGTGATGCCAGAGGAGATGACGCGAAGAGATTTTGATATGGGCTTTTTTCCCTTTTTTTCTCTACCCAACTCTTCGGAGGACTTGTTTGAACACTTCCGCTTTTCTGTTACATCTCTGCTCAGATATCCCTCCTCATCTGTTTACGCTACATGTACGATTATTCCCGGGGATTTTTGTCGCATAGCGTTGGCGTTTGGAAATACACACGAGAAGGAAATACATCTTAGACTAGACACGTTTTACATCATTATTGTACAAGTACATATACGTATCCCAGTTGTACTTTAGCTAAACCTATGCACCAATGGTCCGATCCATATCTTTACTTCCCCCATATCCCTGCTCCCGCCTCTGCTTCGCTGCGCCCTCATCATCGGCTAGCGCTTTCGTACCTCCAAATCCCGTGTCTGCCTTTGCATGCCCGCTTGACGATGTCGTCTTGCCGCCCATGCCACCCTCCTGAATGCTTTGGCCGTAGCGGATCTTATCTGCAGGCGTGATACCATGCGTGTTTGGGGCGCCAGGATCCGCGGTCTTTGCGTGGACTGATGTGCCTTCTGAAGAGTCTGTGGGAAGGGGATAAGGATTAGTGAGGTGCATTATGGAAGATAGAGGGGCAACATACTGCTTAATTGGCCGTACTTCTTGTCGTGTGGTTCGACATAGGTGTGGATGCCTTCGTATTGGGTTTGCTCGCCGCCAACTTCAGTGTCCATGAGTTTGTCTGACATGATGAATGGGATATTGTTGAGTAGATATGAGAAGGCACAAGTATGTTAGTTGGTTCAGAAGGTATGTGTGGTATGTAGTGTAGTTGAAGCTCGGAGAGCTCGAGGTTATTTGGGTAGGTTCGATAATAGCTTATGACGTAACCACCAGACGTCGGTACGGGAAACGCGCTCAACAACGCCAGAACACCTCACGCTAAGTTTGCCTATGCCTGATTCTTATTCTACTTATTTTGATAATGGTACCCGGCGATATTTCCCCCTCTATTATGCGGAATCGAAGTCCAAGCCCATGGAATAGCTGCGGTGATTGTTAGTTTCATATGTGAATTGCAAATGCTTCCCCCAATCTTTACATACCTCTCGTATAGCCTCATATACTTGGCAACAAACGCCTCAAGGTGGAATATATGCTTAGCACCCGTTTTACACCTGTGCTCATAGAAGGCCGCCCATTTGATGACCTCTGGCTTCAGTGCATCATCCGTCTTTGGTATGAGTTTCCAGGTAAGGGTTTTGATGATAGTCGTTGGGTCGATGCAGTGCGATAGAAGATCGTAAAGGGAAGCGCGAACCTGAAGGAGCCGTTGGGGAGAACGCTCTTCAACGATTTGGCGGGCAATCTGCTCGATGAGCGCTTCCCAGTCGGGAGGTGGGATATGTGTCTGATCTGTAATCTTCTCACTATTCCGGTGTTAGATGCAGCTATTGGGTGTGTAAAGAGGTAACAAGGACGTACTTTTGGGCATGCACTGCTTCGAACATCAAAAGTGCCTTTCGAAGGTTACGTCCGCTGTCTTTCGCTATCCTCTGATGTAAACTTTCAACATCCTTCCATCCCTCCTTCTTTCCCACTTTGCTTAGCACATCGCAGATCTCAGCCTCGGTAGGCGCCGCAACTCTGACAAGCAGCGTTCTACTTCTGATGGGGGCAATGATGTTGCTCGTCGAATTTGCCAACAGGATCAATCGCAAGTTAGGGCTGTATTTTTCCATGGTTCGCCTTAATGCTGCTTGGGCATCTCTGGTCAGATGGTCGGCCTCGTTGATGACGACAACCTTGAAGCGTTGCTTTGCACCTAAGTCGACCTGCTGTGTCTGCGCAACCTCCTTGAGCAGATCTTGCACCACTACTCTGTCATAGTTTCCAACATCTGATGGCGTAATTTCGAGGTGGTATACGGAAGCGACAATGTTGAATTCGAGCTTGCGGTTCGTGGTAGTCTGGAAGACACGTGCATCGATTTTGATCTTTTCAACACCGGGGCCATAGAGTTCTTTGAGGGTTGCGACGATACGCGTCTTCTTACCTGCTCCAGAAGGGCCGTATACGAGGAGATGGGGAAAGTCGCCGCTTTGTGCCTATAGTGTAATGCGTTAGGCACAGCCCATATGCGAAGTGCTCTCCTTGGATTCCTTACTAGAGCTCGCAGGCGATCTGAAAGCTCAGGATGATAACTGAGCGCTTCAAGGTTACGCGGCCGATGCTTGTCTACTAAAAGTGCCATTGGGTGATTGTGGTTTGTGAAAGTGTTGGTGGGAATGTAAAAGTTGGCGCAGCGTGCACTGGGCAGACGCGTCGACGCGTAAAGTGGTTAATGGCTTGGCATCCAATGGCAACCACAGCCGTAGCCCGCCCGTCAGGTCACCAGCTTGGTTTGCTTTATTTGAAAAGTAGGAACTCAAGGGCCTTATTCCTCATTACACAACCCTGGACATAATACACTCAGCCCTCTCTCCTCATCACCCTGTACCTGACGTTGTAGTCTAACAAGCCCAGGGCCGGACCGACCCTGCCAGCCCCGCGACACCAAATCCCTACTACCTTCAAGAGCCGGAAATTAGGTTTACTTGTTGAAATATCTCAGGTAGACATCATGGCATTGTCAATGAGAAGCAACTCCCTTCTACATCCCCAGAACCCCCTTCAACCCTCTAACCTTACCCCTCAAGTTTCCATACCCCAACCACACAATTCCCTGTGCCATATTCCACGCCTTGACCCCCGCACCCTCACCCTGCAGTGGAATGTCCATCGGAGATGGAATGCCCGTCTTGATCCCCGCCCACGCCCAGCGATCCCTCGTAATACTCTTCTGATTGCACAGACTCCTCAGCCCTTCTTTTCCTGCGAAACGACCATAGCCACTACCCTTTGTGCCGCCAAACGGCATCTGCACCATGTAGTAGACGGCAAAGTCGTTAACGGCGACCATGCCGGCGTGCAAGGAGCGCACGATGAGCTCGAGGTCGCGATTGGAAGAGCCAAATACCGAGGAACCGAGGGCGTATGAGGTGCTGTTTGCAATGGAAATGGCGTCTGTGACGGATTTGGCGCGCATGAGTAGGAAGACTGGTGCAAAGAGCTCCGTCTGGGCGATTTTCATGTTGGGTGTGACGTCGACGATGAAGGTAGGACTGAAGTAATGACCTTTGGGGAAGTCGGGGTGAGCGTAACGCTTTCCGCCTGCCAGGACACGAGCACCATTGCTGACAGCGTCTTGAATAAGGCCTTCAAGCTTGGAGTAGCCTGCATCGGAGATGGAAGCCCCAATATCAATCGGCACGTCCGATGAAGTGTTCAATATGGACCCCGGACGTAGGGCACGGATCTTTGGCGTGAGGTACTCGATGAGGCGATTGTAAACTTTTGGAAGTGCAATGACACGCTCGATTCCGATGCAGTTCTGGCCTGCAGACTGAAAGGTACCGCGCATGAGAATGCTAGCGATGCGCTTAAAATCGCTATTTGATATATCGTCGAGAACAATGGCCGGGTCCTTTCCTCCGAGTTCGACACACACTGGTGTTAGTGCCTTTGCGGCCGAGGCACAGACGTGATGTGCCACTGGGCGTGAGCCAATGAATGTAATATGCGAGATTGATGGATGCGAGGTGAGGTGGTCAGCGACGTCAGGCCAGCAGACAACGGATTGCACAATATCAGGCGAGTGACCACACGCTTCCAAAGCACGGGTAGCAATAGAAGCGAAGTATGAGGACGACCAGGCAGTAGCTTCAGAGCCTTTAACGATGATGGCGTTGCCGGCGAAAATGGAGGCTATGACGGGGCTGATGAGGTTGTGAAAAGGGTAGCTAGAACCATGTTAGCTGAAATGCTTCGCTGTTAACGATTATGCAATACTCACTTCCAGCTCACGCAGGCCGCAACTACGCCCAGCGGTTCGTAGACAACTTCATTCCACTTGTACATCATGAGGAAGTTTGTGTCCCTCTTCTCAGACTTCAGGCTCTTTTCTCCGTGCTTAATTGTCCACCTCAGCTTCTCCACAGTCACGAGTATCTCACCCAAACTAGCATCCACCATAGTCTTGCCAGAGTCGAGGCAGGCAACCCTTGCAATGACCTCTTGATTTTCGAGGATAAACTGGAGCATTGTACGCAGCACCTTGCGGCGCTGGCGAAAGCTTGTCTGTGCCCATTTCACCTGGGCGTCTTTGGCTTTGGCGATTGCACGGTCGATACCGTCTGCGGTGGAGGGGTTGATGCGCCCGAGGGCTTCACCAGTTGCGGGGGCGTAGCATTGGATTAGTGAAGAGCCAGAAACCTAAAACAAGTCAGTTTGCATCTGTAAATTTTGAGCTGATTTTCTGTACCTTCAATCCAGGCTCATCAAGCACTTTGCCCTTCCATCCCTTCTCGGCTTCCTGGGGTGTTTCGACGGTGTATTCGACGGGCTCTTCTGGATCCGCACGGCACGTGAGCCAGATGAAAGAAAGGGCAGCTATCCAGAGCGTGCCATACAAAACAACATTGAAGTCGTTGTCAGCGCGTGCGGTAATACGATCCATGCTGGCAGGATGGCGCGCATGCGGCCAAAAGTCGCGTATGTCGCTTCAGGAAAATGCAACGTTGGACCCTGACACAAAGCTCGGGAATGGCGCTAAAACGCGTGGTCATCTGCAAGCGACTCTAAACCATGACTTCACACGTCATTTCAATCAATACAAAACTTGGATCAACGCTTGATATATATGGTGGTATCATTCATCCGTTATTCATCATTGCTATACATGACTGCCTATGTACTTCCTCGCAGCCTAACTGTCGCTTTTCATTCACAACGCCCAATCCGCACTTATTTTGCGTTGTTCTTGGGCGCATCCAGGGGAGGCCCAGTAGGCGTAGTGTAGCACTTGGTCATGCCACCGTCAATGACAAAGTCAGTTCCGTTGACGAAGCTGCTCTCGTCGCTGGCAAGGAATAGGACACCTTGGGCCTGCTCAACGGCCTCGCCAAAACGGCCTGTGGGGAAGTGAACTTCGCGACGGTGACGCTTCTCTTTGTCGTCACCAAGCCAGTCTTGAAGGAGAGGTGTGCTGCATTGGTTAGCATTTCAAAGACCCAACATGGCACATGGAGAAGCTTACTTCAATGGTGCTGGGCACAGCGAATTGAATCTGAAGCCCTCACGTGCGTGGACCATTGCTAGTTCCCTGGTCATGGCCAAAACCGCGCCCTTGCTTGCTGTGTATGCGAGCTGTGGTGTTGCACTACCCACCAATGCAACCACACTGGCGGTGTTGATGACGCTCGTCTTCTTCTTGCCGTGCTTTCTGAAGCTGTTGACTGCGTGCTTGCAACCAAACCATACACCCTTTACGTTGATGGCTTGGGTCAAGTCCCAGATCTTCTCAGGCGTGTTGACAGCATCGTCGTCGTTGGCGTGCATAATGCCTGCGTTGTTGAACAGGACATCTACACCGCCCCATGAATCCACGTGCTCAATCATAGCCTGGACATCGGCTTCTTTGGATACATCGGTGACCTTGGTCTCAACTTTCTTGGCTTCTGGAACCACCTCTTTCAGCTTGGCAGCAGCCTTTTCCAAGGCCGGGCCAGAAATATCAGAGAGAAGGACATTGGCGCCTTCCCGGGCAAAAAGAATACCAGTCTCGAGACCAATTCCACTGCAAATGGTCAGTATGCGGTTTTGGACGTGGGGCTGATGTATGCGCTGTGACTATGCACCATTACATGGCAATGAATGTCATGTGTCATCCAGCAAGCAAAACAAGCAAGACAAATCGCACTCGGCAGCGCCATCAAGCTGATATAAGGGAAGAATTGAGGATATTGATGGGGGTGGTGGCATATGCGAATAGAAGATGTTTGCTTACCCAGCTCCTCCAGTAATGATGCAGTTCTTGTTCTCCAGACGGCCCATGTTGAATTTCTCAACTCGACGCTTACTCAGGTACTATGTGTAGCAAAGAGGCTGCAATGGTGTCAATGGTTGATGTGGGCAAGGCAAAGTTTTGTGTCAAGCTGCGAAATATGACTAATATAAACTAGACAAAGCGTCATGCGAACAGCACACTGCATCGTGAATGGGGAAAGTATGCCAGCCGTCGGGCAACAGGGACGACGACTCCGCACTTACCTTTGAGTTGGAGGTTGGAGTATGTACTGGCGTATGAGAGTGTCAGCGGCCCCAAGGAGACGAGGGAGGGGAGGCGATGGGCGGGTAATCACGGGCAGTGAACCGGTCATTCAGATAGTCACGGGTCCGAGAATCGGCCCAGGGCATTGATAGTCGACGATAAGGACTATTAGAGCACGTTTGCTGCTGTCACGGCTGGGCGGGCTTTTGTTGGAGCGGTCGACGGCTTCACTAGGGCAGCCTTGCTTGAATGGCTCGAGCATACTTGCACCCATGTTCCGGACGGCCATTCTACGTAGCTTGAGGGTGGGTTGCCCCGCCATTCGGACGTGACGCGCAGCCCTGTGCGGTAGGTCTGGCGTCTCGCGGCTTATCACGGGAGTCGCATGGGGAGCTATCTTTGTCGCATTGGGTATTGGATAGGGATGTCGTGCAGGAGGGTGGAAGATAGCAGAGGGGCGGAAAATGCAATATATAGTAGTTGCGCGTCTGCACGCCGAATCGATGATGTCGCCAGCCCGCATCCCATCATCACCCCTCATTGGTCCAAGCTCTATCGCATCCGGACCGCCTTTCGCTGCGTCAAGCTGTCCCTCGTCGCGTGCCTGCTTGAAAACCTGATTGCGCCGGCGCTCGTATTTTCTTCTGCTGGCCGTCCGTCAACTCTCCCGTCTCACTCACACCGACTCTCAACACCTGGTCCTCTCTGTCTCGCCCCTCGACATCATGCCCGCCGACTTCGACCCCTCTAACCTGACGGCCGAGCAGTTGCCCGAGCTTCTCAAAGATGACTTGTCAGTCAAAGTCGCGGGTATCGACGTCGATGGAATTCTACGTGGAAAGCTCATGGCCAAGAAGAAGTTCCTCAGCATTGCCAACGACGGCTTCGGCTTCTGCAGTGTCATTTTCGGCTGGGACATGCACGACCAGACATACTTTAAAGAACTGGCCATATCCAACAAGGAGAACGGCTACCGTGATCTGATCGCCATACCGGATCTCACATCTTTCCGAAGAATACCGTGGGAGAACAATGTACCCTTCTTCCTCATTAGTTTCCACGATCCCGACACCAAAGGCACTCTGAGCGCATGCCCAAGAAGCCTGTTAAAACGTACCGTCGACAAGCTCAGGGACAAAGGCTATGGCGCCATGGCTGGAGGTGAGTCGCATGCCGGCGGGAGATCGGATACTGCGCGTCTTTAATGAAGCTGATGTGTATTGTCCAGCCGAATACGAATTCTACCAATTCCGCGCACCTCAAAGCCACGATGGATCGGAAAAGAACACTTCGAGTACGGCTTCCTTCTTGCGCAACAATCCAGTCGACGCCCTGCCAAGCCTTACAGAAGGCATGTTCGGATACAGCATCACTCGACCGGTCCACAACCAGGACTACTACTATAGTATTTTCAATACCTGCGCCGAATTCGACTGTGGCATCGAGGGATGGCATACCGAGTCTGGTCCTGGAGTCTTCGAAGCTGTAAGCGATACCTACTACGCTGTGGAACAAGGAATTCATAACTAATACACCACAGGCCCTTGAGTTTGGCTCAATCGAGAGAATGGCAGACAAGGCTTCCCTTTTCAAACTTGTTGTCAAATCTCTCGGATCCAAGTACGGAATAACACCATGCTTCATGGCAAAACCGCGCGAAGGTCTTCCGGGTAACAGCGGGCACATGCACGTGTCGATTGTAGACGCCGATGGCAAGAACTTGTTCTACCGCGAAGAAGAGGACAAGAACGCGCCCTACTCAGACATCCGATATCTATCAGACCTGGGTCGACATTTCCTTGCAGGCCTAATCGACGGTCTTCCAGACATTATGCCCATCCTCGCACCCAATGTCAACAGTTACAAGAGGCTAGTTGAGAATTTCTGGGCACCTGTCACTGTATCATGGGGACTCGAGCATCGCGCCGCCTCTATCCGCCTTATTTCACCCCCTACCTCTTCCCCGAAAGCCACTCGGTTCGAAGTCCGCGTACCTGGTGCAGACACGAACCCTCACTTTGTGCTTGCCGCCATTTTGGCACTTGGCTGGCGAGGTATCGAGAAGAAGATGGAAATCAGCATACCGCCCCTCGGAAAGGGCGAGGATGTCGGCAGTGAGTCTGACAAGGGTGAGAGACTAGCAAAGAGCTTGAAGGAGGCGACAGAGCGCTTTATGCGCAAGGAAAGTGTCGCTAGGGAAGTGTTTGGAGATCAGTTTGTCGACCACTTTGGCGGCACAAGACAGCACGAGATTAGACTGTGGGACGAAGCAGTGACCGACTGGGAAGTCCGGAGGTATATCGAGACGGTCTGAGAGGCGAAAATAAAAAATAGATATCCCAGACGAAGCTTAGTTCCTTCGTTAGATTACTGGGTACTTGTGATAATATGATTCCATTGACTGTCTTGATATGTAGCTGTATTTTGGGATTTGAACCAAGGCTGTGGAGTACTGTTAGTACTCGGTATCTTGATGTTGCTGATTGTTGCATAATTCCCGTACGCTTGTACCAATGGGCAGTCCACCATGTACCGTATCGGGTATCTTCCTCAAAAAGCTCATGACTTCGAGATGACGCACCATGGTCATGGCTTACTCTATCGATTCTGAATTGGACATTCGCCGCCATGTCCACATCGTGACTTAAACAATTTTGTCGTAATATGCTCCTGGTCAGATGATCTTGAACTCTATAGGCGACACAAAAGATCCGAGTCGAGTAATAGAACGGGAGTCGCGTTCAGAGCAAGGCTTCTGACAGGAGGCAGTGTCAAAACAGCGAAATCATGCTGAGGTGAAATAAATCCGTCATTGCAAACGGCAACCCGCACTCATTCCGTCCCCGTAAGCACTGGCGTATCCTCCCCAGTCATCGGCGTCTCTACCGCACTCGCCGTTTCCCTCTTCCCCTTCTTCAACTTCGGCGCCGCACCGACTGGAAACCGTTTCTCGCCGGCGCACACACCGCACATGACAACCAGCACATCAGCCCAGGGTTTCTTGCCACCTTTACTTGCATTTTCAATCCTGTGAGTTGCAGTGCGCCCGGGAACAAGGACACTGTTGCAGCTTTTACACAGCGTCCGCTTTAGGGAGACGGCGAGACGTAGTTGGCCTTTTCGCGAGACTTGCTGGAGGTCGGAGCTGAGTGAGAGTGCAAGTGAGAAGCGGTTTGGCGACTTGGGTGCTGGCTGTTTGCCTTGTGGTGTATCAGTTGCCTCGGCCGTTTGCAAAGTCAAGTACGTGGCGGCTTGGTAGAGGAAAGATGAACGTGCGTGCAGGTGCTTGTTCGGAATGCCTTTTGCCTTTGGTGCTTTGACCTTGCTCATGATGCTATCTTGATTGTCTGACAAGCAAAGTACGGCGGATGTGTTGGCTGCTTGCAGACGATGCAGTGACTCGGACCGTTCTTTTACTCGTATTTCATATGTTTGTATGCCCACGTGCGCGTGCTCAATTTTTATCTCATTGGCCAACAATGAAAGACAAAAGGTTTGCTGGATTATGATTTCTGAGCCGTCCGTTTGCGGCCTAGTGGCGCGCCCAGCCAGGTGTCCCAAGCTTTTTACCTAACATGAGCGCCCAGCGACCGCTCTTCTCCACCGTCACCACCATCCAACCTCACCGACAATCGCCCTCGACGTCGACCTCGCGTGGCTGTCAACCCTTGAAACAATTACCCGAGCTCCTTGTTCTCGTTGTTCCTTCGTATAATACTAAGCTTGCCGGCACATTATCCCACCCGGCTTTGTTCTTCATCAGCCTTGCTTTGCGACACGCGCAAACCATCAACTCTACCCTACACCCAACCTTCAGTTACCAACACGTAATCCATCATGTCTCACGAGGAGGATCTCATTGACTACTCCGACGAGGAGATCCAGCCCACCGAGGCGCCCGCTAACGGCGGTGCGGCTGCGGCCAAGGGCGGTCTCGCTGCTGGTGATGCTGCTGGCGACAAGAAGGGCAGCTATGTCGGCATCCATTCTACCGGTTTCCGCGACTTCCTGCTCAAGGACGAGCTCGTACGAGCAATTACCGACTGTGGCTTCGAACATCCTTCCGAGGGTTAGTCTAATCATTTCCCCTCAGCCTTATCCACCTACAAGCGTCTGTCCATCTACGAAACGAGCCATGTCTGTCAAAAAAAATGAAAGCGGCCATGGTCTGTCTATACGCGAGAGAAGTGGCGAGGGACCCAGCGCCTTCCGCTACGTACGAGCCTCGACGCACATTATAAATGTGATTGCACCAATACATGCATCAAGAAGCCTAGCGGTGCCTGGCCGGCCCGCTTCAATGGTCCTCAGGGACTGGTTTCAGTGGAGGAGCGCATGCGGTGGATGCATAAGAGGGGGCACTCATGGGATATTGGGAGGATAGACAGACTGGCACGCGCGCGCTAGATGGAGGATTTCGACTACACAAGATGGATGGACGCTTCGATCCCTACGCTTCGTTTCGACCGCTTTAGACTTATTCTGACATACTTTGTGCCCTACAGTCCAGCAAGTTACCATCCCCCAGGCAATCCTCGGAAACGATGTCCTTTGTCAGGCCAAGTCTGGTCTCGGAAAGACTGCCGTCTTCGTTCTCGCAACCCTCCAGCAGATGGACGAGAAGCCCGAGCCTGGTGTTGCCACCATTCTAGTCATGTGCCACACTCGCGAGTTGGCCTACCAGATCCGCAACGAGTACAACCGTTTCGCCAAGTTCTTGCCAGACGTCAAGGTCGGTGTCTTCTACGGTGGAACACCTGTACAGAAGGACATTGAGCTCCTTAGCAACAAGGACACCCACCCCCACATCATTGTCGGAACACCTGGTCGCATCAACGCCCTTGTTCGCGACAAGCACCTCCGTCTTGCCAACCTGAAGCACTTTGTTCTTGACGAGTGCGACAAGATGCTTGACCAGCCTGGTGAGTAACTTCTTCTTTGTCCGCACTATGTCCGCTAATTTCTTCTAGACATGCGCAACGATGTCCAGTCCATCTTCCGTGCCACTCCCCAGCATAAGCAGGTCATGATGTTTTCAGCTACGCTGAACAAGGACGTGCGTGTTGTTTGCAAGAAGTTCATGCAGAACCCGCTTGAGATCTACGTCGACGACGAGAAGAAGTTGACGCTGCACGGTCTTCAGCAATACTATGTCAAGCTTGACGAGAAGGAAAAGAACCGCAAGCTGAACGACCTTCTTGACAACCTGGAGTTCAACCAGGTTATCATCTTTGTTCGTTCCACTCTGCGCTGCTCTGAGCTTGACAAGCTTCTCCGCGAGTGCAACTTCCCCAGCACTGCTGTGCACTCTGGCATTAGCCAAGAAGAGCGGTGAGTTTGAATTATTCGAGCAAGATTTTGCCCAGTACTGATGATTTTATAGTATTAAGCGCTACAAGGAGTTCAAGGAGTTCCAGACACGTATCTGTGTGTCGACGGATATTTTCGGACGTGGCATTGATGTTGAGCGCATCAACGTAGCGATCAACTACGACATGCCCGACAAGGCTGATGCATACCTGCACCGTGTCGGTCGTGCAGGACGTTTCGGAACCAAGGGTCTGAGTATCTCATTCGTGAGCAGCCCCGAGGACGAGGCTGTTCTCAAGTCGATTGAGGAGCGATTCCAGGTCGAACTCCCCGAGTTCCCCGAGGACGGAGTCAACTCTGCCACTTACATGGACAACTAGGCTATTTTATCTTTCTTTTCTTCTGGTCACTCTGGTCAAGCAATGGAGAGTTTGCAAGAAAGAAAAAACCCCAATATATGTTTGATTGTCTAGTGTTTTGAGAAAAAAACGAGCCGTTATGTCCGGGATGAGTCTTGAGCGGGAGGCAGGACAGGCTTTTTGGAGGCGAAAAGGAGAGCAACGTGGCGAGTATGCATGTTTGCTTGACATGTGATTGAATATTTTGTTAGTGGTTGAGTGGAGGATGATCGTGGCCCTTGATGACATTGAGAAGGAGAAGTGTGAGAGAGATAGGAGAGAGAGGCAGAAATTGACATGCATGAGCTCTTCCTGATGTGGACTGACAGTATGCGGGTGATTGTTTGTGACAGTCGGTGTGATTGATGTGATGTGATGGAGCTGAGGTGATTGGGCAGGAGTAGGACGTTTTTATTTGTAAGAGTTGCATTGTACTTCTTCTCGCCCATTTACCCTTTTACGAGAATACTACTATGTGGCTGTAGACTAAAGTAACGTCATCTTGCCAGCAGCATACTACACACAGGGGGGGGGGGAGGTGGCAATGAGACGTTTTTATCCAGAGTAGTAAACGAATGACACCAACCTATCATCCTATGGAAACCTTGCTCCCCGTGTCTCATGCCTCCCATATATACACACATAACACATAACACATATAATATCACTCACACATACACAAGTAAATCCGCGGACCTATCAAACTCCCCTATCCCCCCCCCCCCCCCCAATTTTATACTAAACACGCCAGAGAAAGAGAGAGGAAGGCGAAAAATGCCGCCACCGCCCCCTTCCCCGAAGTTGCACACGTCACAAACAGAAACTCTATTGTATTAGCAGTAAAAGTAACACAGACTCTCACAAATGCCCTTTTAGTCATATTGTCACCCGCCCCATACTACTCAGCCACGGAAGCGAGAAGAAAAAAAACACGTCAGCGGCGGAGTGGGACCCCGGGAAATGCCATGCCCAGGTTTTGTTTTTTTTTAAAAAAAAATGATGTGAAGGTCTTAGGTGAAAATGGTTTGACTCGTATCAATAGCAAAGCACAACAACATCTAGGGAGAGGGACACGCCAAAAAAAAAACCACCAAGGTTACTGCTATATTTCCCGTGGCATGCGTAGTTTGGCGACCACCACGGGCGCAAAAGAAGGGCAAACTACTGTGTACCAATTGGTCATGGTTTCAAAGAGAAAGAGAAGGAAGCTATGTGTATAAAGTTTGGTTAAGGGGGAGGGGGACCCGTCAGCCGTATTTAGGGTCAAAGTAAGCGAGGGGGGAAAATGGTTAGAATTTTGTTTAATTTCTCTCTCTCTCTCTCTCTTTGCAATGTGTGAAAGTGATTCCGCGGAAGGCCGTGGAAAGGGAATGAAAAAAAAAACAGGGCAGACCGAGAGAGAGAGACGGACAGACTCGCGGGGATGATGGGAAGAAAAGATAGAGTTTATGGGGGCGATGGCTTTAGTTATTTTCCGGTTTTGACAATTGGGAAAATGGATTGGGGACCCGGGGGGAGGCGGAGATAAGGGGAGGGTTGTGAATTCCTTGGTTTTCGGCACGCGAGCGCGCGATGTCTTGTTTTTTTTTTTGTAAAAATAGGGTTTACAGGAATGGATGGAGGAGAGGGGTGTAGATATGGGATGTTGGTAGGGTAAGGATTGCGAGCGGGAAGAGGGAACTTGGGGGGGGGGGGATGAGATGAGATGAGATGAGATGAGGAATCGATATATTAAGGCCAGTGAGATGGAAAGTCCGGACATGGGAATTCGGACAAGGGGGGAGAGATGAGAGAGTGTGAGAAGATTGCGGGGAGAAGAGAGGTGGGAGGGGTGAGAAACTTTGTTTGGTCCCTGTTTCTCATGTTGCGTGTGTATGTGTGTGTATGGATTATGTGGATTACTTTTTTTTGTGAAAGGGACTCTTCCTCACAGACACACACGTCAATATGGCGTGTTGTAAAACGGCCGACCGAACGGATTACTACTCGGGGGAATATGTACAGGGGTGATGAGAGGGGCCCAAATCTCCACCCTAGAATTGGGGAGAGTGGGGGGGGGTCCTACTTTGCTGCCTATATCAAAATGAAGTTTTTTTCTTCTTTCCACTTTCTATTCGCGAAGAAAAAAGAGCCGGCGCAATGATGTGTGCAGGATCTACGACGAAGGATGGATTAATACCCACTTGCTGTACCGATGCCGAGGCGTGCGCGCACAAATTTGGGATAGCCCTTGTCCGGCAGCCACGTTCAGCATTGCCGGGCAGTTGGTGGTGCCGCCGCCACCTGTCAGGAACAAGACAAGAGGGAAAAGTTGACTCGCTTGGTGGTGGGGGTGGCCGCCGCCGCCTCCGAGGGAAAGGTAGGCAGGGGCACCGGAAACGGGCTAGACAGAGGAACACAGGCACACCAGAAGAGCGACAAGCATGGGTAAGCAAAACAGCTATCGGAAAGAGCGAGGCCAGGGGTGGAGGGGTGGAGGGGTGGAATCAAGGAAAACGGCGGCTTGTAATGTTTCAATTATGCAGTGGATGGGATAAAAGGTGAGAATGGGAGCTTGGCAAGCCGACGTGGCACTCATGCGCCACCGGTCGACTTTTGGGACGCGATTCAAAAGAGGATGTGCAGTGATGGGCAAGGTGCAGGTTTCTATTCCGAGATTGCAGTGCTCATTTCCTTTGCCATGGTGGGCGATGGCGTTCACACGTTAGCGCGCAAGTAGGTAATTGCTGTGGGGGCCTTGCAAAGGTGATACCAGCCTCGTTCCCTGTGCAATAGGGGAGGGTGCTATAGCAGCGGCGGCGGGCAAACAGCCGTTCGATGGACGACATTTGGTTTCGCCGATGCAAAGTACTCTAGTGTATCGGACGAGTCGCGTTGGAGCGGAAGGCGTAGTGCTAGGCCGGGAGGTAAGTAAGTATAACTTGTTTGCTCTCACTCTGCACTTTCTGGCACGTCTCGGCTACGGGATGGATACGAATACGAGCGCTGGTGCCCCCCGCAGGTTGTAATAACTAGTCGACGCGCGGATAGCCGTTGTTCAGGGATCAGAGCACGCGATGTTGTTGTTGTTGTTGTTGGTGTTGTCGCAGCCTTGCAGCCTTGTAGCTTGGAAGGCAGCGTACTCATACTAGTCGTGCTGGATTGGGCCGTGGGGTGACCGGACTCGGAGTATACTAGGTGAGAGCGGTCTAGAGGGAAAGAGCAAAGGCGTTTCCTTCCCACCTACTAACCACAAGCACCCCTCCGTCCCCCCCAAGCGAGATCTCGATGACAGCAGTCGAGTGGGCCTTTGTGCAAGGCCTAGAGTACTTGGACGGGCGTGCAAGAGCGGCAGATTGGGCTTGTAGGCGACATTGCGCACACAGACGCACACAGGCGAGCAAGGAGGCATAGGGTTGGAGGCACATGCAGCAGAGTATAGGTTAGGTAGGCAAGCAGTGAGTGGATGGTTGAGGCGAGGTTTGCGACAGGCTTGGCGACATGTGCTATGGCAAAAGGGCACATGCGGTGGGCACGGCAGGCCGATCGCTGCAGCTTATCAGCGGCGGGAGTGCCAAAGGTCGAGTAAGTGGCAGCAGGAAAGTATTGTCGAGCGCGCGCGCGCGTGTGTGTGTGCTGGCACCAGGGGCCCCGACCGCCGCGATTGTGGTTCTGGTATGATTTTGCAGATGCAGCCGCGGCTCGGGTGCGGGAAGCCATCGGAGCCGTGCGTCGTCGTCTTGTGAGTGCGTACATAGTATGCCTGTGCCTGTACCAGACAGAGTCGGAGTCGGTGTGTCGATGGTGTATGTGCAACTGATTACTTACTATGTACTATGATAAGAGGCAGCGGCGGTGCGGCCGGTTATGAAGGTCCGCCGTGTCCGCAGTGGGTAAGCAAGCAAGGACAGGAACAGGGCAGGACAGGGCAGGACAGGGCAGGACAGGGCAGGACAAGAATCAATATCCAGGGCCCTTTTCCTGGGCACAGCTCCTCCTCCTGGCTCCAGGCTTCCTAGCAGCTAGCAAGCTGGCCAGGCAGGGCGAGGCGATGGGCCCCTTTTCGGGGGAGAGGGGGGGAAGAGCGAGAGCGAGCGAGTGTGCTACGACTAGACTACCTCTGACTGACGACTGGCAACCGTTGGGAGACGACGGGCCTTGACAGCGGTTGCACGGCGCCAGTTGGCCGGAGGCAGAATGGGCGTTGGGACGGGACGTCTTGGCCCACGCAGCGCGAACGTCGACGTCAGACGCACGGAGCTCTTGCACGCCGGCCTGCTTGGCTGCGGCTAGGTGCTGACGCCGGGGGACGTGAATGTACCCAGCTGGCGGCGGGCGCACCGTATGTATTGGTTGATGTATGCATGTGTGAAGTAGTAAGTAAGAGCAGACAGAGTACACGACTTAGTACTTAGTACTTACTACTACTACTACTACTACTACTACTACTACTACTACATAGACTGCTCGTGTCAGGCTGCTCCACTTCCACCGATATATATATATATATATACTTATCGATGGATGTATGTACATCTTCGCCCGTCCTGGCTGTGAGTAGTCGTTGGGTACGACGCCCGACGTGCAGGTCCGGTAATGGCGCCTCAGATCTCCCTGTGGTGTGGTGTGTGGGTGGCCCACAGGGAGAAGCGGATCTCCATGCTCATGGTTAGTCGTGGTCGGGGTGCCGCGCAAGCATGCTGGCAAGTCCACAGTTCGGCGCCGATCCACTGCAGCCTGGCTATTGTTGGTTTGTTGGCCTTGCTTGTTGGCCCTGTTGATGCTGCATTGCTGCGTTGCTGCTGCCATTGCTGCTACCGCTACCGCTACCGCTGCTGCTCCTCCCTCATCCCCAATCCTTCCACTATGCATGCCATGCCCTGCCCTCCCTCTGTGCCTCTCTCCCCATATGCATGCATCGTCTCCCTGCCTCCCACTCCCCCTCCCCCGTCGCAGACTCGCTCTTGACCAAGCACTCCCCGTCTGCGCATCCTCGCTGCTGTTACCGCCGCCGTCGCAAAACACGGCGCCACGGCAGCGCATGTGCCCTTTTTTTGATCAAGCAAAAACAATGACGATACACTGCACGGCCCCGCCCATAATAAATAAGCCATGCGCCTGGCGGCCACTGCGATAAGTGCCAGGCCTGTCGCCCAAAGCATCCTAGCGGCTCCCAGTAGAGCCTGTGTGCGGGATATCAAGCAATGCTCGCGGGCCTGGCAGTGCATCAGCCCTTGCTGACCTCTAGCCTCTCAGTGCGCTTCTTCGTCCGCCCACTGCTCCGCTGCTGCCCATCATACAAACCTCCTCCCTTGCTCGACTCCCTTCTGCTTTGCATTTCTTGTTGCTCGTTCCCGCTCGCTTTTGCCAGAGAGCCTGTCGCGCGCTCATTGCGTGAAGCCGAGCCTCTCCCTCTCCCTCTCCCCCCTCTTCACAAACTCGCCATTGCAGTAGCGGCAGCTTCCCAATCCTCCCGACCGACCACACCCTCACGACCCACCACTTACCTTCTCGTCCTGCCTCAGCCTGCGCCACTACTTGCTTGCTCGCTCTCTCTCTCCCCCATTCATCTCCCTCTCCCTCTCTTATGAACCACCCCGAATCTCTTCCGTGATTCGTCTCTTGCCGACCTCTGCACGCTCGTTTCCTTTACTATCTTAATCGATAATTCCCTCCGCTGCCGCCGCCCGGGTCTTTGCACCGCCATCGCGATCCACGCAAGCCCGGCCCCAATCGCCAACTTTTTGGCTCCCTCCTCACCCTCTGCAGCTCGAGCTGTTCTCCTCCTCCCTCTCTCTCTCTCTCAGTCCACCACCCATATCCACGCCGATATGGCTCCTGCTGTTCCGCGGTTACGCATTCTCTCAGGTGCGTCATCAGTCCACGAGCCGTCGCACCATTGCCGGCCCTTCCATATGTCCCTTGCACATCCAACACAAACACACACATGCATCCTCTGCCTGTGCTGTTCAAATTCCAAGACTTCTTCCTATCCCGCCTGCACCCCTTCGGCTCCTACGCATTAATTCAATTGACAACTGCTAACACTCCACAGTGGGCGGCAACGCCGTATCAGCCTTCTTATCATGGCGGTTGCAAGCCACCAACGCCTGCGATGTTACCCTTGTCTGGAAATCGGGATACGATAGTGTCGCTCAATATGGCATCTCATTCAAGTGCGTACCTCCCTCTACGAGTTGCCTCCCCCTCTCTCTCTCTCCCCTGACTCGGTCGCTAACACGTCATAGATCAGCGCTTTACGGTAATGAGCGATTCAAGCCATATGCTGGTATGTCCCTAAGACAGTCTCCTAACACTCTAGAACGCAACTAACGCTATCCATTAGTTGTTCGCACTCCGGAAGATGCCGCTCATTCTTCCAAGCAGCCTTTCGACTACGTGCTTCTCTGCGTCAAGGCCCTCCCAGATGTATACGATATTGCCAACATCATCGAATCTGTCGTCTCCCCTCAACACACGTGCATCCTTATGAATACAACACATAGTCTCGGTGTCGAATCATATCTTGAGCAACGCTTCCCCACAAATGTTGTGCTTTCATTGGTTTCCGGAGCAGAGATTTCGCAGCTTGGAGCTAGCGAGTTCGAGCACAAGGGCGCAACAAACATCTGGGTTGGTGCCGCCAACAAGAACGCAAACATCCCCCCGCAGATTCAGTCGGACATGGCCGAGGCTCTCGCCATGACTTTGAGCTCTGGACAGGTCGACTGCAAGGTCTCCCAAAACATCCGACAACAACAGTACGAGCGAATGATAGGGTGAGTTTCACATTCCTCATGTTGCACGCTCATGCATCCACTAACGGCTGTACAGCCCAATCGCATTCCATCCCGCCAGTGTCTTGTTCGAAACACCCAACCACGCCGAATTATTGGAAAAGGTTGGCGTGCGACCTTTGGTCAATGGCGTGCTGGACGAGATGCTCGCACTGGCAAAAGCCTCTGGCTGCTCTTTCCCGGCAGACTTCCGCGAAAAGACGTACCAAGACATGATTCGCCCCCAAGAGCACAACAGCACCATGTGGCTCGATTTCGAGGCCAAGCGTCCCATGGAGATTGAGACATATCTTGGTGCCCCCTTGAAGCTTGCACAAGAAGCTGGCGTTGCTGTGCCGCGAATCGAAACGTTGTATGCGACGCTCCATCATATCAACATTGTGAACCGAAACCGCCCAGCAGCACCCGCTGTTGCACCCATCCAACCATCCCAAAACGGCATGCAGCCACCACCAAGAATGTCTTCAGCTCCCATGCCGCGAGCACCCCCTGCGCAAGGCGCCATGATGAACGGCAACGGCCCGGTCAAGGGCGGCCCTCGTCCAGGTAGTCGTGCTCCTTCTGTCAACGGTGGTCCCCCCATGGCGCGTCGTGGACCCCCTCCTGGCCCCAACGGCTACCCTCCAAGAATGAATGGCGCCCCAAACGGGCAGCGACGGCCTTCGATTGAAGGAGGGGGAGACCTTGAAGAGTTTTCACATCTCATGCTCTACGATGACATGGTGCCAGACGGTCCCAACGGTGGTCCTTATGAGAGCGCAGGCAACGCCTCCAACATGTCACTTCGAGAACGAGAACTGATGCTGAGGCAGCGGGAACTACAGATTAGAGAACAGGAGATGAACATGCGACGTGGACCTGGCGGACCTGGAGGCCCCATGGGTCGCGGTGGCCCCATGGGACCAATGGGTCCCGGTATGGGTCCTGGCCCTGGTATGGGTCGAGGAAGGCCTCCAGCGCCTCCTTCCATGGCCGGTTTCGACGACGACGATGACGATGGTGACGACTTCTTCGACCCCATGGGAGGCCGACCAATGATTGACCCGGACAATTTCGATATGATGAGCGTCACGTCACGCCGCAACCGCTCAGCGCCCAGTGCCAAGCAGATTCGCCAGAACCCCGAGGGTGCAGGCTTCGGACCTTTGCCCAACAGAGGCCCGAGAAATCCCTTTTCGCGTTCTGGTGCAAACAAGAACCGGAGTAGTGCTCGGCTGATGGCGGACGTTCCGGGCCTTCATGACTCGATTATGAACAACCCGCTCATGGGCTACTCATCTGACCGTTACGGCCATGTCGATCGCGGTGCCATGGGTGCACAATCGAGAACTAACTCGCTCACATCAGCCCGTCTTGACGATATCTCAGGCGGCGCCGGTTATGGTGCCTATCCTAACCCAAACGGTCGACGAATGAGCCAGTCACCAGGTAACCCCCTCAGCCCCGGCCCCAGGCCCGGCGGCCGACCCTCACCACCCAACGGGTATGCGCACAATGGCATGCCACCAAACGGAAGACCCTCGCCTCCCGGTATGGCACAACCAGGAGTGCCACAACATGTTGAACAGCACGCTGGGGTGAGCAATCTGTACCCGCCCAAGTCTCGTCCCCAAGTTCGCAGTCTGACTGGAAGCGCTTCCAACAGTAGCGCGGCTCTAGATTCTGAAAACTCTGCGCATAGCAGCCAAAGCAGCCTAGGCCCACGTCCCCCGGTGGGCGTTCGGTAACGGGGAAATCATGTTCGACATTTGATTTGGTAGCCATTGGTTTTGACCATGTTGGCATTTTGCATGGGCACTGTTTTTCCAAGCTCTGGCGAAACTGGCGAAATCATCTACTGCTTTTCCATGGACACACATGGTTTTCCTTTCCTTTCCCGGGACTACGGCTAGCGAAACACTCGAGGCAACTCTTCCTTTTTTTCTTCTTCTTTTCAGTTCTCATCGATTTCTTCTACAAACACATTGGCACAGCAAAATCATTACTAAAGAACCGACCAAGCACACCCAAGCAGTTCCGACTAGGGAGGGGTCGGGGCAGTATTACGAAGCGCCCTAGGCTTTGCCAGAAGGCGGATATTTAATGACGAATAGAAATGGGTGGGAAAGGGGCACACAATTGACGCAAACGGACCGGCCGTGGGATTACCAGGGCTGCAGTCATCGGGATTTCTCTTTTGTCACTATGGTACATACTTGTAGATTGTTGTTTGCAGCGTCCGCACCAGCCTCTCCTTGTCGTTTTGGCCATTTCCATTACGGGTCGCCTGTTGAGGCAGCCCACTAATCATGTTTTTCCTTGATTGCATTGGTTTTTATTGTCAGTGGAGGGTTGGTGTCTACTCGTGCCACCTGGTTTGCTATACTACGGAGTTTTCGATATACATCACATGGATTTAGCTGCTTGTAATTTTGTGGCATTCACTTCTACTTTTGTTGTCTGGAGGGCCTGGGGTGTTGCAAGCTGGCGGGTGTATAACGTACTGCCTTTGGGCGAGTATGGCCTGTTTTTTCTTTCTTTCTTGTGTCTTTCTTTGTTTCTTATCTCTTGGTGGGATTTTGGGGGGAGCATCATGGTAGCTCAGCACATACACTCGCACACACACAAAAGCAAACGAAGCGTTTTCCTTGTCTGACATGTGACAGCTTGTGCATAAGTAGCAACGTGAATGTGCGCCTGCAAAACAACAAGTACAATGGTTAGTGATGTTCTAGTCGAGTGCCATAGAAGGGTCCGGTGCTTTTTTCAGATGGAATGCCCAGAGAATGGGGTCATGGGGTAAAGAGAAGAGGTGACAGTAGCGCCGAGGGGACATGCACAGGCTTCACGATGCGAATGCCCATCGGCTGCAAGTTCCGGGGGGTAGCAGTGGTTAGCGTAGCGTGCCATGTCGCGACGCAAAGGCACGGGTGCTCTGGTACCGACGTCCCGTCTTCCGGCCAATGGCACGAAACTGAAGGCATCCTGTCCCGTATCTCACCGCGTTGGCATGCAGGCTTATGGTGTTGACGCAAGTCGATTGAACGCCCAAGCACCCCCCCAGTCCGCCTGCCCCTCGTCCTTCGTCATAGCTGGTAAAGGCGGGGCAGCTACTACTATGAGCAGCATTGGTACCACCAACGCCCACCGCCGCAGCAGCAGCTGGAACGGCTCGCTGTCCAGCCCAAGTAAAGCCACGCGCCCGTCGCAGAGCCCAAGGCATACCCAGCCTTTCGCCCCGTCAGAAAACACTTCCAGGCGGCCTCTTGTGACCCACACAGTAGCCACTGTCCTTGTTCTCCTGCTAGCGCTTGCTACCGGTTTCTTCGCACCCCACCTTCCACACGCCATCGTCCGCATCCTTGACAGAGAGCAAGCTCCTTCCATAACCCTCCGAAACCCCTTCGTCCTACAAGAACCCCCCGTCTGCCCCAAACCAGAACAACACGTCGAGTTCGTCGGCACCTTCAACAGAAACCACAAGCGCAGCATGGCTCTCGCCGACCAGGCCAAGCAGGTCGCCGCCGAGTTTGACTTTAGCGACGATGCCGTCAACAAGGCCGTCAAGGAATTCATAAGGGAGATGGGTATGCATCCCTCCACCTTGTGTTACTGTATCCACCCGCTGACAGGCGCGCAGACGAGGGCCTGGAGAAGAAGGGCACCGAAATGAGCCAGATCCCTTCCTACGTTACTGCCGTTCCCAATGGTACGGAAAAGGTACACTTCCAATGCGCACGTGGACGAAACCCATCTCTAAACCAAACAGGGTCTTTACATGGCTGTTGACTTGGGCGGCACAAACTTTCGTGTCTGCTCCATCAAGCTACATGGTAACACCACCTTCTCCATTACCCAGAGCAAGGTCGCCATTCCTCGTGAGCTCATGGTTGCCAAGACGTCCAAGGAGCTCTTTTCATTTCTTGCAAAGCAGATTGAAGCTTTCCTGAAAGCCCACCACGAGGACCACTATGCCGGCACTCTCCGACGCAGGGAAGGCAAGGCAGGCCAGCCAGAAGAGGAGGAGATCTTCAACTTGGGCTTCACCTTTTCCTTCCCAGTCCAGCAAATAGGCATCAACAAGGGCCTGTTGATGCGCTGGACAAAGGGCTTCGACATTGAAGATGCTATTGGCAAGGACGTCTGTGCCCTGCTCCAGACGGAGATTGACGCGCTACACCTCCCCGTCAAAGTGGCTGCTTTGGTCAACGACACCGTTGGAACTCTCATGGCACGCTCATATACTTCTCCCGGAAAGACTGGAACCTTGCTCGGAGCCATCTTCGGAACAGGTACCAATGGAGCGTATGTAGAGAAGCTGGCCAAGGTCTCAAAGCTCACCAATGATAAGGAAGTGGGTGAATATGACAAGTCCACAGGTGAGATGGTTGTCAACACTGAGTGGGGTTCGTTTGATAACTCGCTTCGCACCCTGCCCAACAACCCGTACGATATTGAGCTTGACAAGAACTCGGTGAACCCCGGTATCCAGATGTTTGAGAAGCGCGTATCAGGCATGTTCCTGGGTGAGCTGCTCCGTCTTGCTCTGCTCAAGCTCATTAAGGACCCCAAGGTCCCGCTCTTCACTGATGATAACTCGTCGTCCAACGATGTGCACAGCACTACCCAAATTCATGATGGCAGCCCAATATGGAAACAGTGGGGCATTGACACGAGCTTCCTCAGTGTATGCGCTGGTGACCACAGCCCTGGCCTGCGCATGCTGAGACAAACTCTTGACAAGGAGTATGATATTTCCGCTGTCAGCGCCGAAGACGCAGAGGCCGTCCGTGAAATTGCCGCGGCGATTGGCCGCCGTGCAGCTCGTCTCGCTGCGGTTGCCATTGCCGGTGTAGTAATCAACACTGGCCGTCTGAACCAATCTGCGGCGGCTGCTACCACTGAGCAAAAAGCAGGCATTGAGCCTCCACGCGGCGATGTCGACAGTGAACAGGGCGATGAAATTGACATTGGTGTCGATGGATCGCTAGTCGAGTTTTACCCCAACTTTGAGGAATACATTCGCGAGGCCCTGCGTGCTGTTCCAGAGATTGGCGTCAAGGGGGAGAAGAGAATCCGGATCGGTATCGCAAAGGACGGTTCCGGCGTCGGGGCCGCATTGATCGCTCTTGTTGCCGGAAAAGTTGCCTCGCCACAATAAAGCAATATGTTGCTTGAAGGCTGGAGGCTCTATCCCGCATGAGCATGCATGGTTCATTTTTTTTCCAACACCTACAACATGAATGGGCATATACGACCTTGGTTCACATGTACATAGAACGCACGTACTCGACATGCATCCATTCTTATCTCCAAGTTAAAGAAAACAAGTTAGAGAGAAAAAAAATAACACTATTGATACTTTTGTTTCGTGATACAAAAATGGGGGCCAGGGTTTTGTTTTGTTCTCACACGCACAGAATTCCGAGACTCCGTTACCCTCAACGAAGTCAGCCAGCCTTATCTACATACACCCAACAATATCCTAAGAAGGAAAGAGGGCATACCGAGCCCACAGACCCTTACGCTCTCTCCCTTGACCAATCTTTTCTTCTTCCACACCTCATTTTTAGCACCGACTTTCCCGCTTCTTCGAACACTACGGCACACGCACTGTCTCCGAGACACTAACCTAAAAAAAAAAGCAACAAAGGAAAGCACGTACACGCATCTCTTCAACTCTAGAATAAAAGAAACAAACAAAAAAAGGTAGCACTGACCTCCCCACCTCTTTGCCCTGACCCTTTTGCGAAAATAAACAAAAAATAAAAAGGCTTAGGGTCTAAGCTTGAATACAGGGCGTTTTATCGTAGCTTTAAAAAAAAACGCGGGGAACGGGGTCAGGGACTTTTCTGGTGCACCTCCCCCCCCCCCTTTCCCCTTCTTGGTAGATTCGTCATGCACGGACTTGATGCTGTTTTGCCTATAAGGTTAGTGGTTTTTTTTGTTGATATCAGCGGGTTACAAGGTGATGGAAGTATGATTGTAGGAACTAGCATGTTTGGGAAAGGAAAGGAGGGGGACGGTGTTACAAGTAACAAGAAGGATTCTCTCCTTGACAAGTGACGAGATGGCGGAGGGCCTATGGACGTCCACGTCAAAAGGTAATGATCATCGCGGGGCTGGAGGAGTCACGTGATGTGCCATCTCGCCAAGACTGGCCATCTCAGATGGCAGTGC